GGGATTTCTTAATGGGATTTAATAATTAAGAAAGCAGAGTGTGAACTCCTTCCAGTAACTGGAGACACATCCTTGCTTGTCACACCAACTCAGGAGATCCTCGTTGTTAAAGTAGTTCGAGTTCAAACGTTTCTCATTTAAAAATCCTGTTAAGAAATACAACAACATTTACATCCGTGTCTTTTACCTGGCATTTGTCTGAACACCTGTTGCTTATTCGGATTTTTTTTCTTGGGCATACGTTGCTTTTAAACAGATCACCATATGCTATCCACTTGCACGTCTCATCATTTGAATATGTTTATAACTTCCTAGGAAATCTTATTTTTTTTTACATTTGAATTGGGTTAGGGGCTTAATAGCAGTGTTGAATTCATACGCTGATTAATTCTACATATTTAGGAATATGGCTCGTTTTCCAAACGCCCATGTTTATGTATTTAATACAGACTGTTTTATCTGTATGTAGGAGTTTTTTTAAAAATTTGTTCAGGTGACAAGTTTAAAGTGGGACAGACGAGTTTATACGAGAGATCTCGCTTTTTATTAATTGACGAATGAATGAAAGGATAATACAAATCCGTGTACCATATTTGTTTATTTGCAAAATCTGTTCTGGCGATAAATACGATCTGTCTTCATAATACGGTAGTTAAATTATGTGTTTTGAAAGACTGGTTGATTTATTCAAAAGATTTTTTTTTAAAAAGGAGGGTGAGAATAACAAATAAGTAGTTATATGTGTGGATTTTTGCCTGACTTGGTGCTTTGTGTATAATGAGCTCGACGAGGTTGTCAGAGGAGACAGAGACGACATGCGAGATCCAAACGACAATTCTTCATCTTGTCACATTTTCTTTCCAACGCGCCTCTGATCCAGGGGATAATTTCGTTTAGTTGTCAATGTTGGTTATTTTATCAACTGCAGTCTGTGTGTGTGTGTGTGTGCGCTGTTTCTCGGGCAGCCCCTGCCCACTGCTTTACCTGACATCAACTTTTCGTATTCCAGCCCATCAACCGTGAACTAATAAAGGCGATCTTGGAGCAGTTTTAAGTGGTCCGATCTTTTTTTTCTCTCTCTCTCTCTCTGCCCACTTTACTACCGTGCAATTCCGGTCACGTCGTTTCGTGGAGTTATTGCACTCTTTCATTCAGAACTGCCCGAATTCGGAATGTTTTACAGATCATATCGGTTTGCGCTCAACTCTCTCGAGAGAGCGTGACATCGACAAAAACGAAATATCTTTGTTTAGCTTAACAGTTTTTATTCTTGTTCTTGTATCTTTTTGTCTTAAGGCTTCCCGAAGGCGAAGCACATTATCCACAAACTCGCTCATTGACGTTGGCAAATTGTACCACAAGTCACTGCATTGCACAATTGCTTTGCATGTTCCATCACTGTTTATGCCATTGATAAGGTGTCCTCGATCGAGGTTTACGATTGTAGTCCTAAAATAACTATCTATGCCCGAAATAAAATCTTTGAATTTTATTTTGGCTACACCGTGGCTCTCTGGACATCTAAAAGGAACCCAGTTATTGGCTTGTAATTGGTTTTAATTTAAGAAATAATGTATAGAACGCGATACGACGTTTTTTTTAAAAAAAACTCTTTCCTCCACGTTTTATGTGGATACAATGTGAAACAAAAGTTTCAAGTGTAAAGCATGTCCACCACTCGGACCTTAGTGCCAATACTACAGTCAGCAAACCAAAGATGAATTGGGCAATAACCATTTACTTAAAACAAGTTAGAAAATTGGGATATTTGGCATGATTTTATATTGTGAGCTCAATCACAATCACTTTTGTTGTAATAATTTGCATTGCTCTTCTAAGATCTTGTACTTAAAAAAGGGGCGACATCAATTGCAACGGTTGTTATTTTTCCCACAAATAAAATAGACGATCCTAAAACAGTTGGGAACAATATCCTCCAGTTTGCATCTGTGTGGTTACCAGTAAGTATTCGAGTGACAATACAAACTTGATATCTAGAAATAAAAACATGCTTAAAATACAAACGGGTCAGTCATTATCTTAAAAAAAGTAAGTCAACATCAGCAGTGGGACTCTTCTTCGGAGGTGTATTCAGTCAGTGTGCGTGTTTCTTTTTGCAAAGTAATAAATTAGAAATACAATAGGAATTTACAGCCCCAAAAATGTGATCTGGCATTCAGTGTATTAAGTAAGGAACATGCTGTTTATAAACTTTCCTCATTTTTCCTCCAAGGTTGTTGCTTATGAACAACATCAGCGTCGGTCATGTAAAAGGGCGTGTTCCTATATCACCGATAAACTATTTAGGGATACCTGTATTTTTCGACGAAATCACAACGATGTGTTGAATTCACATTACAGTAGAACTACTAATTGCCCAAAGGCGTCCTGCCTTCAGACTGGTCATGACGGCTCATTCATGTTGCCATCATTCATGTTGCATGTCATTATAATGCAGTGAGAACGGAAAATCAAAGCTGCTGATGATTTATCAAGATGGGCGAGTGCTGATGCTCAAATGCAATGATGGGCCTGACCTGCTGTTGAAGATCAGAGTTTGTCTGGCTGAAGGGTGGGCGGATCTCTTTCACACTATGCTGTTGCGATCCGGGAATGCGAGTAAGAGTGTGATCCTCTGGATTGGCAAATCATGTGGCATCCCATATCATATGGTGGTCAAACCGCATTCCCAGCGCAACGCCTTTCATGGTTAAGAGAAAATTGTAGGCTTTTTGCAGTTTAGACTGTGAATCCTCGCAGGGCTGTTGTTTTTGAATCGTTTGATATGGACCCTGGTCCCTGCTGCCCTGGAGGCTCTTTGTCTATTATATTTCCACATGATAGGGTATGGGCTCCAGCGGCTGTTAAAACCATAAGGGACTGTGTGGGGCCCCGACAGACGTAAGCAAAACGTAAATAGCACATCTGCAGGAAATCCCTTGTATAGCCTCTCCCAGAAAACAGCACACAGAGACTCCGTGTTTCATCTGTTACAATAAATGAACTGTACCGTTTAATAGCTCGACGTAGACATAGCTTGTTGTATATGTTCATAGAAGGCGGCTCCTTTTAATCCCTATTTTGATAATTAAACCAAATATAAAAAGCCAACATTTTACGTGGTGCTGTTGCACCCCTTGGGATTCGGTTTAAACGCAAACATATAGAATCGAAAACACATTACCAACCAGGTTTGAATCGAAAGACGCGACCACAGAGCTGCAGATACACGCCGGGAGGGGCTCCTGATCGAATCCTTGTGCGTTTAACCAAAACCCATCTACTCGTCCTGATATCAATCAGTTCAGCGCGAATGAAAGATGCGCCGCTTTAAAAATCGCATCATCATGGAAATTAAAATAGGGACCGGACTTTGGAACACTTCGGACTAGTTGCCCCCAAATCTGGCACAGTGTTGAGTTTCAGGATTAACTCGGACCCCTCTTGCCCGCCGGGCATCGATTTGTAACCTTTGGGATAAGCTTTAGGCTTTGTTGCCAGGTTCGCTATTGGGCTGCTCTGTGCTGCCAATGTATATGTTTTAACGTCAACTGACGAATCGGGTGATGCTGTGTGTACCTGAAACACACCTGCAAAAAAATCCCCACTCCCCCCCACCACCAACACCCCCACCTCTTCTCCGGTGACTGTCCCTTCGCTGCTTTGCAATATTTATTTATTTCCTGGGGTTTGTGCTGAACGTATTTGCCGCAGTCTGTATGTTATATGATCTGTTCACACCGCAGAGCTCTCACAAAGGCAATGCTTTCTGATAATAGGATTGATGGAGGGGGTGATGGTGGGGGGAGGTGGGGGGAGTAAATTGTAGTCGCCCTCTGAGACCCTCGCACCCGGTCATCCCTGACGTTAGGAATACATTCAATGTAACCTCCAGCGCCGGTGCTCCATCAATCTTCTGATCTGCAAGTTTAAGTGTAACCCACACAAAATGATATAAGAAAAACAAAGGCTGGATCGCTGTCTTCGGAGTGGGGATTTGTTACGCCTCGAGATCTGAAATGCACTTTCCCTGTGAGATGAGCTGTGGTTGTGGTTTGGATTCCGAAACGGGCGTTTTCCTTTTGAAGTGAGGTCGGGAGAAAAAATAGACACACACATACACACACACACACACACACACACTGCAGCGAATTAACCTGTCTAAATGAACTCTCCCCAAGAGATCAGGCAGAACACACCCTCCCTCTTCTTATCAAATCTGACTTGAACCCGATAGTAGAAGTGCATTTAAATAATTGGGAAATAATAATTGGGGCATAAAAAAGTTGTGTATATATATATATGTGTGTATATGTGTGTGTGTGTGTGTGGATGCATGTGAATAAACCTTGCAACACAAAAGCAAGTTGTGTGCTGTGCATTCTTAATGATGAACCCCGGGGATGTTTTCCCTTCCCCTCCCCTTTCAGCTCTGCCTCTGGGTTGCTGTGAGCCATGTCCATCCCGCCCCCAAAACCCCCCTCCGTAAGCAGAGGCGAACAAGTACAGCCGCGCCAGTGAAGCGAGACTGACATGTCCAACTGTTAGCAGCCGCCGCCTCGGCAGCACCTTCATCCCTTGTCATTTTCTATTCCTTTCCTCCTCCTTTCCCACCGCGACCACCCCTCTTCCTTCCTTCCTTCCTTCCTTCCTTCCCGGCAGACAAGAGGCGCTTTGGCTCCAGCTGCAGCGCCAGGCAGCACCTCTCCCGCACGAGGTTGCGCTGCAGCCCCACGCGAGCCGGAGCCGGAGCCGCAGGGCTGGGGGGGCGGGCGGGCGGGCGGGGGGGTGGGTTGTCTGGGTGGCTCCCCCGGGCCGGCGCCCTCACTCTGAAGCTCAGCTGCATCGGGCGGCTGTGAAAGAGACTAAGACACTGGGAGCAGCGGCGGCGGCAGCAGCAGCGGCGGAGTGTTAGGGAGCGAGGAGCAGGGCACAGAGAGAGAGAGAGAGAGAGGGGGCTCTCTCCTCCCCGATCCCCCCCCCCCCCAGGAGCACCAGGCAGTCATGGAAGATGGACCTTCCTCCTCGTCATCATCTTCCTCCTCCTCAACAGGCTGCTTTCGGAGGTTTACCGACTGTTTCCTCAGCACCAGTAGGTTTTCTCTCTTCTCTCTTCTCTCTCTCTCAGAGTCTCTCTCTCTCTCTGTGTCTCTCGAGTGTTTTTGTTCCCCTCGGTTTTCATTGTGTGTGTCTTAAGGTGAAACCAACGCGCGGTGTTCCGAGAGATGTATACATTTTATTGTATTTTGAAGCTACGGGACTGTATCCACACACATATATATTTTAAAAAAAACTACAAGGTGAATTGCAATAGGTGAGGATGGAAGGGGGGGGTTTAAAAACAACAACAAAAAAGTTGAAACTCTTGACATGTATGAACGAAGCTGACGGGAGAATCGGAGACTGGTTCCTTTTTTGGTTAAAAATTTTTTTTAAAAAAAGATAAAACTCCACGTTGATCCCCAGTGACACGAGAGATGTTGAATTCCTCTGACTTTCATTTTTTTTCTCTCTCCATCTCTCTCTCTCTCTCCATCTCTCTCTCTCTCACGGTGACACAACGAGGTTTATCTTTTTGGGTTCAGGTCGATGGGGAAACCCCATTTCCCTGTTTATGTGTTAATCGCATCTCGTTGAGTTAAATTCTTTGGCTAACGAGAGCCGTGCGCTGGTGCAAAAGCCCCCACTGGTTTATTGGGAGCACGTTTTGACACTCCGATTGCTGCAGCAGTGCAGAGTTCGGGGCTCATTGGTGTCCGCGGAAATAATCTGAATGGAAGAGAGAGAGAGAGAGAGGGAGAGAGAGAGAGGGGGGAAAAAAAATCGTCCTCACAGGGCTTAGGACACAGCCATTCCATCCCCTCGCACTGCACAGTCTGGGGGTGGGGTGCGGGGGTGCGGGGGGTCTCAAGCAAAAGCGGGCGATGTGTGTGCAACGGCTCGAGAGCGCAGCAAATGCTCGTGGAAAAAATATCCAGCGTTTTAAGCCCTGGAAGGAAGGGAGGAAGGAAGGAAGGAGAGAGAGAGAGAGAGAGAGAAAGAAAGAAAGGTGACCGCGCACATCTTGCGGCAAAAAAAAAAGTTAGCAAAGCGGGACGCGGAGTGAAGAAGGGAACGTGCGGCGGAGTTGGTTGTTTTTGCGGGCGGGCGGGCGGGTGTGTGAGCTGAATGTCAGGGGGGGAGAGGGGGGGGGGGGAGCGCATGACACACAGCTCGCGGGCACCGGGCGCTCCCCCCCCCCCCGGCGCCCCCCCCCCCGCCGGTCATCAGCGCTGCCCGGGGCCCACTCCGGCTGCTCGCCCCTCACTCACTGCCCACTCCGGGGCTCCCAGACTGGCCGCCACCTCCCACACCCGCAGCTTCAACCTCTTGCCCCTATCTCTCCCCCCACCCACCCCTCTCTTGCCCCTTTCTCCCGCCCCCCTTTCTCTTACCCCTTTTCCCCGCCCCCTTCTCTTGCCCCTTTTGCCCCCCTCTTCTCTTACCCCTTTTCCCCGCCCCCTTCTCTTGCCCCTTTGGGGAGTGCCCCCGCCCTTCTCTTGCCCCTTTGGGAGTGCCCCCGCCCTTCCTTGCCCCCTTTGGGGCGCGGCCCCGCCCCTTCCCTTGCCCCCTTTGGGGAGTGCCCCGCCCTTCCTTCCCCTTTGCGCGCCCCCCCTTGCCCCCTTTGGGGCGCGGCCCGCCCTTCCTTGCCCCCTTTGGGGCCCGGCCTCGCCCCATCTCTTGCCCCCTGTGGGGCCCGGCCCCCCATCTCTTGCCCCTGTGGGGCCCGGCCCCCCCATCTCTTGCCCCCTGTGGGGCCCGCCCCCCATCTCTTGCCCCCTGTGGGGCCCGGCCCCCATCTCTTGCCCCCTGTGGGGCCCGGCCCCCCCATTCTTGCCCCTGTGGGGCCCGGCCCCCCCATCTCTTGCCCCCTGTGGGGCCCGGCCCCCCCATCTCTTGCCCCCTGTGGGGCCCGGCCCCCCCATCTCTTGCTCCTGTGGGGCCCGCCCCCCCATCTCTTGCTCCTGTGGGGCCCGCCCCCCCCATCTCTTGCTCCTGTGTGGCCCGCCCCCCCATCTCTTGCTCCTGTTGGGCCCGCCCCCCCCATCTCTTACTCCTGTGGGGTGCTCCCCCGCCCTCCCCCCCCCTCACTTGCCCCTGTGGCATGCGCCCTCTGACCCCTCCCTCTCTGTTGCCCCTGTAGGGCGCGTTCCCCCACCCCCCCTCTCTGTTGCCCCTCTGGGGTGCGCCCCCGCACCCCCTCTCTGTTGCCCTAGCCACCCCCTCTGTTGCCACTGTTGGATGCTCACCCTCGCCTCCCACTCTCTGTTGCCCTTGTGGGGTGTGCCCCCCGCCCCCCCATTCTTGGCCCTGTGGGGCACTCCCTCTGCCCACCCCGGATCTTGGCCGTGTGGGGCGCTCCCCCCACCCCCTCCTCTCTTGGCCCTGTGGGGCACTGCCCCTGCCATCCCCTCTCTTAGCCCTATGGGACGCTCCCCCGCCCCCTCTAGACCCTTTGGCGCACCCACGCGCCCCTAAACCCACAATTCTCTTGCTCCTCGCTCACCGCTCCCCCTATTCTCTTACCCTTTGCCCACCACCCCCCCATTCTCTTGCACCTTACTCAACTCGCCCCCATTCTCTTGCCCCTTGCTCACCGTCCCCATCATTCCCTTGCTCCTTGCTCACCGCCCCCCTATTCTCTTGCCCCTTGCTCACCGCCCCCCATTCTCTGCCCTTGCTCCACCCCCCTTTGCCTTGCTCAACCCCCCCCATTCTCTTGCCCCTCGCTCAACATTCCCCCCATTCTCTTGCTCCTCGCTCAACATTCCCCCCATTCTCTTCAACCTTGCACAACACACCCTCCCGTTCTCTTGCCCCTTGCTCAACCCACCCTATTCTGTAGCCCATTGCGCAACCCCTTCCCCTCTTTCTCTTGCCCCTTGCGCAACTCCCTTCCCCCTTTCTCTTGACCATTGCGCAAACCCCTTCCCCTATTCTCTTGACTCTTGCTCGCTCCCCCATTCTCTTGACTCTTGCTCGCCCCCACCATTCTCTTGCTCGCTCCCCCATTCTCTGAACTCTTGCTCGCCCCCCCCCATTCTCTTCACTCTTGCTCAACCCCCCCCCCCCCCCATTCTCTTGACCCTTGCTCAAAATCCCATTCTCTTGACCCTTGCTCAAACCCCCCTCCATTCTCTTGACTCTTGCTCGCCCCCACCATTCTCTTGCTCGCCCCCCCCCATTCTCTAACTCTTGCTCGCCGCCCCCATTCTCTTGCTCGCCCCCCCCATTCTCTGAACTCTTGCTCGCCCCCACCATTCTCTTGCTCGCTCCCCCATTCTCTGAACTCTTGCTCGCCACCCCCATTCTCTTCACTCTTGGTCAACCCCCCCCACCCATTCTCTTGACCCTTGCTCAAAATCTCATGCTCTTGACCCTTGCTCAAACCCCCCCCCATTTTCTTGACCCTTGCTCAAAACCCCATTCTCTTGACCCTTGCTCAAAACCCCATTCTCTTGACCCTTATTCAAACTCCCCCATTCTCTTGGTCCTTGCTCGACCGCCCCATTCTCTCGGTACTTGCTCACCCCCCACCCCATTCTCCTGACCCTTGCTCGCCCCCCCATTCTCTTGCCCCTTGCTCATCCCTCCCCATTCTTGTCACTTGCTCAACCCCCCCCCATTCTCTTGGCCCTTGCTCAACCCCCATTCTCTTGCCCCTTGCTCAACCCCACCCCCATTCTCTTGCCCTCGCTCAACCCCACCCCCATTCTCTTGCTCCTCGCTCAACCCCACCCCCATTCTCTTGGCCCTTACTCGCCCCCCCATTCTCTTGACCCTTGCTCACCACCCCCCCATTCTCATGACCCTTGCTCGCCACCCCCCTTTCTCCTGGCCCTTGCTCGCCACCCCCCCTTTCTCTTGGCCCTTGCTCACCACCCCCCTTTTCTCCTGGCCCTTGCTCACCACCCCCCCAATTCTCTTGGCCCTTGCTCGCCCCCAATTCTCTTGACACTTGCTTGCCACCCCCATTTTCTTCAACCTTGCAACACACCCTCCCGTTCTCTTGCCCCTTGCTCAACCCACCCCATTCTGTCGCCCCTTGCGCAACCCCTTCCCCCCTTTCTTTTGCCCCTTGTGCAACTCCTTCCCCCCTTTCTCTTACCCCTTGCGCAACTCCCTCCCCCCTTTCTCTTGTCCCTTGCACAACCCCCTTCCCCCCCCCATTCTCTTGACTCTTGCTCGACCCCCCGCATTCCCTTGACTCTTGCTCGACCCCCATTCTTTGACTCTTGCTCGACCCCCCCATTCTCTCCACTCTTGCTCACTCCCCCCCATTCTCTTCACTCTTGCTCAACCCCCCCCTCCCCATTCTCTTGACCCTTGCTCAAAACCCCATTTTTTTGACCCTTGCTCAAACCCCCCCATTCTCTTGGTCCTTGCTCGACTTGAACCTTGCTCTGCCCCCTCCTTGCACCTTGCTCTACCCCTTGCTCTCCTCCCCGCCCTTGCCCTCATTCCCCCTCTTGCTCTTCCCCCCCCTCCCCTCTTGTCCCTTGCCCTTCTGCTCCCTCTCCTCTTGCCCCTTGCTCTCTCCCCCTCTTGCCCTTGCTCTCTCCCCCTCCTGCCCCTTGCTCTCTTCCACCTTGCTCTCTCTCCTACTCCCTCTCCTTGTCCCTTGCTCTCTCCCCCTCTTGCCTTGCGCTCTCCCCTCTTGCCCCCGCGCGCTCTCCCACCCCTTGCCCCCCGCGCTCTCCCACCCTTGCCCCCGCGCGCGCTCTCCCCACCCCTTGCCCCGCGCCCGCGCTCTCCCCCACCCCTTGCCCGCGCCCGCGCTCTCCCCACCCTTGCCCCGCGCCCACGCTCTCCCCCCACCTTGCCCCGCGCCCGCGCTCTGCCCCCCACCTTGCCCCGCGCTCTGCCCCCCCCTTTGCCCGCGCGCGCGCTCTGCCCCCCCCCCCCCTGGCCGCGCGCTCGCTCTGCCCCCCCCCCCCGGCCCGCGAGCGCGCTCTGCCCTTCCCCCTGGCCCGTGCGTGCGCTCTCCCCCCCCACTTGGCCCGCGGGCGTTCTCCCCCCCACACCCCTACCCTACTCTGGCCCCCGCCTTCA